ATATATTAGAAATAGCAAAGGTCCAAGCGCAGATCATTGAGGAACATCTGTGGTAATTGTATCCAAATTTGATTTAGCTTTGAATAAACAATTTTCAGATTGCCTGAAAATCTGTGTACATTGCTTACATCCTTTGATGAGGTAATGATCTCGTTAATTCCACCTGTAGCGTAACGAAATGAGTGCGGGGGCCCATCCGCAAGACATTTATCCGGACCTCCTTTATGAAAGTGTAGAGCTAACACAAGTAGTGTTTTAGAACCTGAAATAATAAGAACATCCCCAGATCGGGCCGTCCGGGCCCGAACGTAACGCCCCTGAACTCCACCCCTTATTCCATAATGTCGTTTTTTTTCTTCGAGTTTATCACGAGATACACTATAAATGTCTTTGAAAGATCAATGTTTATACCTGCTGTTTTCCTTTTTTGATCCAAATTTCCAATGATTTCATGTATAACAACATCTGTGGTGGTGGAGAAACCTATACTGAAGCCATGTTGTGATTTATTAAGGATTTTACTAAATTCAAGAAGCAATTAAGTCTTGCTAATATAATATTTTCACAGTTCGCCAAATACTGAAGTTAGGGTTACATGTCGGTATTCTTGACATCGTTTGTGTTATTGTTCTGAGTAAGTGGTCTTGCAATACTAATTTTTAGAGATTCTGGAAAAGTGAATAAGTTAAGAGATCAATTTATTAAATAAACTAATATGTTAAGAAGAGCATACTTACATTTCTTTAAAGAATTATTGCAGATATTTCATCAATTCTTCATGAGAAACTATTTTTAAAGAAATTCGTCAATCGATTAACTTCAGTAGCATTTGTATGAAGGAGAAATGTAGATTTTGAAGTTCTCGAAGATGAAGGATTACTAGGATTACTTCTTACAGTGTCCTGCTTTGAATTTAAGAAATGATATTTAAAGCCCCTAAATGTCAGAAGGCTTATTGAGAAGCATTCCTTTGTGTAGCAGGAATGAAATTGTGTGAGTCTGAGTTTTCTCATTGTTAATTATATTGCTGATTGATATTACTATACCATTGAGTACTTCAGTCCATTTCTATTTTTGGAGACATTTGTTTAGCAATTATAGGTCAGTATCACTTGCATCATGGGTGGATGTGTATTTAGGTTGTTCAAGGCACATGGGCAATGATTTGTGCAATGTGATCAGATACATAAAAATCAATATTGAAAGAAGAGAATTTATTAATTTCAATATTCTAACACATTATGGCTATAATATTAACATGTATGGCTTCAATGTTGTAACATGTTATGGCCTAAATCAACAGGGAGATTGAAAGAAGAGAGTTTAGTTAAAATTTCTTCAAATCTAACTAGAAAGTCACTTAACACTAGAATTTGGATATATGTAGATTCCAATGATTTTTGTTACCTTTCTTAGTGTTTGTTATTTTCTACTTCAAATGTCATTTCAATACTCATTTCTCTAATTCAGTCTAATGATTTCCAAATTAAATTATTCTGTACTATTATTGCAACACTGCCACTTTTATTAAATTCTCTACAGATGTAAAACTGAATGTATAAATTCTGTAATAAATACTGAATGATATACTATGTTATAATATTATTATGTTAATATGGTATAATACTTATTAACATATTATTTATTATTAACATTATTAAGTTATACACTACATGTTAAAATATATAATACAATTAATCGTAATTCCTAAAATTTAGGAATTAAGGTGAATTGCATTATTTTATTAGACCTGAAGTTGGAGGCTTAAAAACTCTCAAAACATCATTGAAGACTGGGAAAAATTAGACGTAAGATTATACTTGAATTGTTATGAAATAAAATTATTTTAAAAATTGTCTGCTGTCTAAAATTTAAAGGGATCTATTCTTAAGAGAAATACTATCATAAGAAGACTGTATAAAATTTTATTTAAAAAAATAAATCATTTTAAAGGTTATGTAATATGTAAGTTTAATCAAAACTTACTTACTTTGAGAGAATAAAACATCTTTTACTGTTATGCATGGTTAAGATATTTATTATTGGAAAAGATAACATACTGAATATCAAGAAAATGATGTTTGAGTTGGCGCTTTTTCGTTCCTCCAAATCCACCAATTACGTCACGCTGCTACTTACATCATACTTGCAACTATACGCCGATAAAGGTTAAAAGAAATGTGAACGCAAAAATGGCGTGCGACCTGAGTGTACGATTAAAGAACGATTTTACGTCTTAGGTTCACCATTACTTCGTACTGGTTCGTCTGACGCATCAAAGAATATACAGTGCTGTATACAATACTTTTTAATATGAAAGTCTCTGGATATTAGCCTTCAACGTCAACTTCCGCTGACGTTCTGTCATGTCTGGAAGCACTTCTCTCACTCTTGTATGTTATCGTCTTAACCATATTTTATGTTTGTAGCAGTACACTTTATTTAGAAACATGTCACGAACGAGTTAATATAAGTGATGCAGCTGGATCCCAGCTGTACTTATTATTTCGAAAATATCGACTTTGTCATAACAATTCTTGTGACAGTTTGGGTTTTGCCCCAAATTTGTGAGTGTCATGAAGAATTTTTATAGGAAAGTGCCAAGTTAGGTATGTGAGATTAATGTGGTCATTAATGTATTCTCGTAAGTTTCTTGACTGGTTGCTAATTATTTGTGTGTTAGTTTTTTAAAATGTCAGAACCAAGTCATGACTTAGGGGAGGACCCTCGGCCTCCTCCTCCCCCTCAAAGTCAGGATATTGAGGGTCTACAACAACAATTTGAACAACAGCAAACATTAATATCTCAGCTCAAAGGTGCTATCCAAAGTAATGAGCAGCAGCTTGCAACTAAAGAAAAAGAAGTTGAGGTAAATGTGAAAAGTATCTTACAATGTGTAAGTACCTTTAGAAATGCTTCGAGTAACTTGTCAAATCTTTTAAAATGTTTCAGGTGTTTGCTGCTAAGTTATCCGGCATAAAATCCCGCACAAAAGCGTCAAAACGCAGTTCCAAAAGTGGAGATGCGAAAAGGACTAGTAATGAAGAAGCAAAAGAAAAAAGAGGAGGAGAAGGTACATCAACATCTGTTGTTACAGAAGATCCAGTGCAAGTAGAAAGTGTTGAAAGGGAAGGAGAAAGGAAAGATGTTAAGAAAAGTGGGAAGAACTCTGAAAAATCCAGACTGCTTAGAAAAAAACTTGAAGAAAATAGAATGAAATTTGAACAAAGAGGTAAAGAAATGTCTGAAAACAAGAAGGGCATTGAAGAAATGGTGGAAAATTTACGGATGCAGTTAGAGGAAAGAAATCAAGTTATTCAAACATTACAAAAAGGCCTTGAAAGCAATCCTGCAGTGCCTTCTGTGCCTACTCCAGCAGTTCGTCCTGAAATTCTGCACGTCTCTCCTGAAGTGAGTGAAAATGTTGGAACTTAAGTTTGCATTAGTTGTAATGCATCTGCTTTCTCTATGCTTAAAGTACTATTGTGTATGAAGTTAAAATATCAATATGTATTAAGCTCCCACTCCTTGTTTTTTCTTTTCTTTTTCTTTTTTTTAATTCCATTTTTTGTAAAAAATGTTAATTGAAATATATTTTAATGATACCATTTCTCTGGCGGGCTTCCTGAAACAGTTGGAGGAACAATGACAGAAACAATGAGGAGAGAAACAAAATTACATTAATATCCATTGATAATATCGTATACCTTATCTTCTTTTTTTTCTGTCTCTCTCCCCCTTCCTTATCTTTTGGAAACCTTCACCACTTTTGTTGGCCTTAACAACAAATTACAAAATTTGTCATTACAGAGTGTCCATAATTCATAAAATGTCTTTCACTTTATACATCAAGATCGAAAAATTAACTTATTTGCAAGTACAACCACTTATCTATGAATACTCGTACATTTGATTGTCTCATATTTATCCTTCTCTCGGGATACCTTCTGAAGAGGATGGGTATCTGAGAAGTGAGTCAAAACATATGCAGGAGTTTTTCTGAACATGGTGTTGTATATTTCTGATATTGCTGCTGCAGTGCAGTGCAGAATACAGATTTTCAGAACATTTTCAATAGAAAAAACTGATACTATAAGGAAATTTTTAATGACTTTTAAAAAAGTAAATAGCCTTAGGCTTTTGTTGATGTGCATGCGTAAAGTACAACAGAACATCTGTATTAGTATATCTGAACCTCTCATCCCCCCATCCAAAATTAAAATCATTTGGAAGTATTCTGTTTTATAATTAATGAACATTGATTGATATGTTGCTTGCGGCGGCGATGGTGTAACGGTTAGCGTACTGGACTGTTGTACCCAAGTTGGCGGGTTCAAACCCGATCGAAGCCGTGGATTTTTAAGGGCGAAAAAATCCTTCGTACGCCTTCCTTCGGAGGGGAAGTAAAGCCGGCTGTCCCATGTTCGTAGATTTACTTGCATGTAAAAGATCCTCAAGCCTAAATGACGCCTCTGAGCTGAATTCAAGTCGCCTGTTTCTCGCCCAAGATACCTCCTTTCTCCGGTAGTTGGTGAAAGGAGCGTAGCAAAATTTGCGTGGTCAGACGGAAGAGCAGGCCTAATGGCCTGAGACTCGCCACGTAAAATAAGGCATAATTCAATTCAATTCAATTCAATGTTATAGTGATCCCCAATAAATGTTACAATTATTATCTTATTTATGAACCCTATTAAAAAGTTCAATATGTAAGCATTTGAAAAATTAAATGAGTTTTACAATTAATTAGTGAGTGAGAAATAAAGAATTTACTTAACAAGTGTACTTATTTAAGATAATTGAATTGAACTGGATAAATTATTTGGATGATGTACCCCATCCATTTTGATTGCCTTAAAAATGTAATGTAGACTTTTAATAAAATAGTTTATTGAACAACAATTAAATTTATTTTAAATGTTGTGGCCAAATATTTAGGGAGTCATTGAAATTAATTCATTGATTAGTTTTATTTTTTTCACAGCATTTTCCTGTCTTTTTGAGAGTAGTTGTAGCTTTCATCTTTGTGTGTACAAGTGTTTCAACAAAATCCCAATTTCGGTTTTGATATTTGCGATAGTTGTAACAAATTCCTGTAATTTTCTTCCTTTTCAGAGCAATGTTGGTGAGCAGACTGACCAAAGAGAAATGTATGCACAAATTGTTTATAAGGATAACAAAATTGTGGAACTCAACAATCGTATTATGGAGCTTGAACTGAATGTTTTGGATTTACAAGAAAACTTGAAGGAAAAAGATGCTGTGATTGATGCACGGACTAAAGCTATAACTTTAATGTCTGAAGATATGTCTCGTAAAAGCAAAACAACATTAGACACATTGGATGACACTAGAGAGCAGATGAGACTGATGCAGAACAATTTTATAACCCTGGAAGCAAGGATGAAAGATGAACAAGAGCAATTGAAGAAACACCTTGAAGAAAAAGATCGAAAGTAAGTTTCTTTTACATTTCTATGACATTGTAATGATATAAACAAGAATATAAAATGATGTATGGTATGTGCAAGACTCTTCTTGAAGATTTTGCTCTTAATTACTTAATAGGGAGAGTTGAAACATAAATACTTGAGATTTTGTGCACATTAGGCATTTGAGAGTAAGGTGTTTTCTTTGTGTATTTCTAATTTTTATTGATTCATTTACTTTTGTTTAAAATATATTTCAGTACAACTTGAATGAAGTACCCTATGTTGCTTGGATATTTATTTAACTTAATCGTCTATAAGACAAGAAAAGAAATGAATTTTCTCTATATGGTGTATTCAGGCCCTACCCTTCCGTGCCTTGCTCTGGTCGATACTGTCCCATCTCATCATTCACACCCTGCCCTGTTTGGGGGAAACCCTGCTAGCCAATGGTAGGTCGATGCCAGATCTCGCCATCCAGGGGGAAAGATCACCACAACCTCCAGAGGAAAAAACATACACTACACTTGCGGGACCTATGATCTCTGTAGGTGATGCACCTGGAATCATTAACAACCACCAACCAGTGACCCTATCCCTTGCACTCTCCAGCTCTACTGTCTCACTCCTAACCCTGTCCCGCCCAGCTTCACCCTGCCTTCCCTCCCCCACTCCATCCTGTCGTGTTTGTTACGATCGCACTACCATGCTACCTCCGTTGTTGCTTTAGGTCAGGGGTGCCCAGCATGCAAGGCCTCAAGGGCCCCAACTAAAATCTTTGATATGGCTGCCTTATTTTCATTATTCATGCTCTGTTCTGCTATTCTGCTCTGAAACGGGAGGTGGGGATAGAACGACCCGTGATAACAGGTCATAACATTCATTATGCAGAGAAACACATTAAGATAATTTTGAATTTCTGAATTTACTAGAAAAAAATCTTTAATCTAATCTATTTTTAAGTTGAAGGAATGTTGACCCTGACAGAGCACATGCGGTAGGCATGCAATGTCCTCACCCGGCATGGATCCAAGGGACTTTCACATTTGAATTAGTAACCTTTGGTGGGCTGCAATAAATGGCACAGCAGGCCGCATGTAGCCTTCGGGCCACCAGTTAGATAAATGCTTTAGGTAGTTCTAAACAGATACATTGTTGTATTCCCCCAGCAAACATCTAGTAAATCTGAAAACAGTTATCTTTGCTCATCTTAATTTTATTTATTTACAACATTATTTGTCTAGACCATTTTTACTTTCTCATATATGTATATATGGAGTAATATACATGGTATAGAAAAAGTTATGTAATGCTACACAGATTTCCGGCAGAAAAGAAAAATTACCGGACCCTGGTCATGAAAAAAAAGGATAAATCCGGTTTCTAAATTAAGAAAAAAATCCTCTAACACATGGTGTAGCCAGACTTTCTGTTTTGTGGGGTTCTTGATACCGAAAAGTCGATTGACATAAAACATCCGTCCGCCCCTCCATCTCTCTGTCCGTGTGGTGTATGTAAACAACAGTAGCGCCTAAACTAGGCCTACAATTTTTTCCAAACTCAATAAACCCCTTCCATTTGGCCTGAGTCGAAGCTCTGCGATTTTGAAAAACCTTCATTAATTTTTGGGGGTACTTTTCATGAAGCCCTACAACCATTTTCAAAATTTTCTCAAAAACTGCTTCAAATTTTTTTCTATAAATTTCTTCTAAGAATAGGATAAATGTCCTTATAATGGTGGCATTGCTCCAATTTTCACTGTTACCCCTGAATTTTTGAAAATTTTAAGAGAATAAATTAATTTTGGCATTTTTCTACAACTACAAAATTGAAGTCAGAAATTTTTTCTTAATTTTAAATTCATGGTCCTTAATTAGTTCTTTCATTAAGATCATGTATATATTTTGAATCTCTTAGATATTTTCACACAATATTTGCAATTTAAAAATATAACAAATACATTTTCTCAAAAACGGCTCCAAATTTTTTCTTTTGGTAGGGATATTGCTAAATGCACTGTAAAAGATGACATAAATGCCATATTGCTGTATTCTTTTGTTTTTCCAAAAAAATATATAGAAATGTACTTTTATTGACTTGTCTCTTACATCGTTAATATTTACATTACCGGTAATTTGTTCACATTAATGTATTTATGAGTACACATGCTTTAAATAAAGTGTTATAAATTTTCTCTAAAACTCAACAGTTTTATGTGAAAAGAAACTCAAATTCCACATTCTCAGAAACCCTCACATGCAATTTCTTCAAAAATGGCTCTTTGTGTTTGTTGTTTATAAATTACACAAGTGTAATTTTTTTAAATATCTCTCATGCATTTGTGACTGGAAGTGCTTAAAATGACTTTTCTAATATTCAAAAGTTTTCGGTGAAAAGAGGTTCAAATTTCGCATCACAGTATCGCTTAAACACAATTTTCTTAAAAATGGCTCAACAATTTTCAATGAAAATTGCTATTTAAGATGAGGTTTTACTCTTCTTTGATATATTTAAAGTATTACTTTGGTTTTACTATTACAAAACCGAAAATTGAGAAAATTAATAATTTTCTTTTGCAATCTAAAGGTCTGGATACTACATGATAAGCTTCCCCAAAATATTATGCCATATCTCAGATGGGAATGCACATTTGCAAAATACATACAATGAGCTGCATGAAGGCTGATTATAAAAAAAGGTTATAAGAAGGCTGTTATTTTGAAATCACTGGCACAACAATTTCATTTTTATACATCCCAGCCGTTCATTCCTATTTTGAGTTTTTTATGTTGAGTAGATCTTCCTAAAGATGTGCTTATCGTTTGTTAGTAATATCAATTATAGGCCAAATTATTGGCAGGAGGTGGGTCATGCTTTCCCAGTAGTGATGCCTTTTATATCAGTTAACAGAATTAAATATCATGTTAGGAGACAAAATGTTTCATTGAAAATTGAAATGACAGTCCTTTTTAAGATGAAAAGGTTCTACAGAGTGGTCTTCAGAGTGTAAATTAAAGTAATGAAAAATGCTTTTGTGTTAGAAGTAATGGTGCATATTGCGTTTTCTAATATTAAACTACTTTATGTATATTTAATTGTAATGTTAATAAATTTTTCTTACAAAGAAAAACAAGTTACTTTGCTTTGGCAATATATTATTTTGTCATAGATTCATATATAAATAATACTTTAGAATTATTTTGTGCATGCTTACAATTACTTACATACATTCCTACCTATATTTACTTTCATTTGTGTATTTATATAGTGGAAATATATTTAGTATTCTAATTGAGAAATTTTACTTGAGTGAATTTTTTTACATTCTGTTACTAATATTAAATACATTTCATGGTCTCTTGGAATAAACATTATAAGTGTCTAAGGAATTGAATATGATCACTTTTGGCGACGAACATGTAGTGGAAAGTTTCATATAATAATTAATTTAATTTCATATTTTTATAATATAGTGCTTGTGATCGTTGCCCCTGAATGTTAGGCAACCTTGTGTGCACAGGTGTTCGGCATGAAATCTCTTTGACTACTTCAGAATGTACAGAACACGTGTGTATTATAAGTAGACCATGGAATCTTAGGCAAAGAAAAGTGATGATTTAGACACCTAAAATAGGTTACAAAATGATTAAACCAGGAATTTAAAAACATTAGACACGAAAAGTTCTGTTTCTGGCTACTAAAACTGGCCACAAATTAGGGACATTTTTTTATTCAGGAAAGTCAAGTATTTTTGCATTTATGAGAGTGACTTCATGCATATATTTTATTCACTTTGAAAATTAGCAGCGAAGTATATAATCAAGATACTGTTTTTAAGATTTTCTACAGTAAGGCTGCCTTATCTTTTAAAATCATTTTGAAAGCTGAAAAGGATCTTTCTGTTCACACAGATGTTGTAGGAGCAAACTTTAATTTAGTCACATTTTTCATGCCCATTTTTTACAAATTCTCACCACCATTCCTCTCCAAAATTTGCACCACACGAACGATTACACCTTATTTGGTATTTTTTATTATGCTCCCCTGTTTCCATATGCACTGTACTTTGTCCCCAATTGCTCTCTCAGGAACACTAATTTTCACTTTAACATCTTCTGCCATTGGAACTTGGTCTGTCAAAGGTTCTCCTTTGTGTTCCAGCTTGGCTATTATTGTGTGCAGAAATGAACAATTTGTATTTTTCTGGACCATTTTTTGTAAGCTTCACCTTTCCGACAGTAGGCTAAAGCATGTTAATTTTCCAAAATTACTTATTTTGGGCAGTTTTAGGGGAGGAAATAGGCATCAACTGCTCTTTTAGGACATTGGGTACTATGAGCTGTTTCCAGTAGATCTACTTTTTCATGATTCATAAACGTCTGTGATTATTACAAACTTTTCCATTTGGCAAAAAAAAACAGTAGTTTTCAACCACTCCACAGCCGTACAGGTTTGTTACCTTTATTCTGAAAAACACTTCACACATAAATATATATTTGCAAAAGTAGTACCATATTCCAATAATATTACCAACATAAAGTAATTTTTAAGTGCATTATTATTATAAACTTTAAATTCTAATTTTATTAACATCCTGTTGTACCTTCTGTGTTTATTTCTATTGCTAAGGACTATCCCCTAAACATTTAGTCGTTAAGTATTCATTGGTTTGGGCAGTGAATACAGTAATTTACATTTATGTTCTTGCCAGGTTAAAATATGTTGAAGAAAGTCACAAGAAACTTGAAATTCTTCGATTTGATCTGACTACCAACATTGCTGAACTCCAAGAAAAAGTTGTTCACTTACAATCTATGAATTCTGCTCTTCAAAGGCAGAGCAAACAAAGAGAGTCTAGAGGAGAAAAGCAAGACCAAGTGGAAGAATTATTGCATTCTCTCGAAGAATCCAATAAGCAGATGCTCAAAATTAAAGCTCAACACAAAAATAAAGTTAAAAGTTTAACAAAACAGATTGAGAGTCTTAAAAAGGTATGTGAAAAACAATTAACTTTTTGTTTCTTTGAGCTTGCTCTGGCAATGAATGAATATAATAAAAGCATTGATTTTGTGTCATGATGGGTTAATGATAGTGTGCACATTGCAAGACATTATTGAAAATTGCAGAAATTGAGAGTAGTATGGGGTAAATCTTTGAAGAGATTAATACAAAAAAAATAAATGCAATGACACAGTGCTGATATTATTACCTGTTGATTGTTATCCAACACAATATTCTGGGTGTTGTGCAAGTGCGTGTTTGCATGCATAGAAATAAGAATTACGTTTAAATGAAAGTGTACATAGCTTTTACGTTTTGAAAGGAAAAGTTTAATACACTTATGAACTAGTGGATTTATGACTTTTATTTCTCTTGCAATTTCAATTAAACAGGAATTATCTTTGTATAATTATTATGTTACAATTAACAAAAATAGTAAGCCCTGAGTTTCATTACAAAAGTTTTCCTATGTCTGCCCATGAAAGTCTATGACTTCCCATTACTTTAGCATTCATGGAGGTAGAACCCTAGTATTCCAAACTAATTAGGGGTGTGGTCTGTTCAATTTTGGAAATGTTCAGATAATCTGAAAAAATGTGCTCAACACATACAAATAAATCTATAGGATTACCAGACAGTGCAACGTAGTGTGTGATGCGAGAAAATGACAATGAAGTGGCAACAAACTGTATTGTAGTGATATGTGGAAATGGCAGTGTTGCGAACATCAGAGTACAATTACAATACATACATATTTGATCTCTGGGGATAGTCGTTGTACATTGTTTAGAAGAGTTGAAGCACAGTTTGTGTCATTGCTGTTAAACGGTAGTCTATGAATTAGAATTGTGCGTTATCTATGAATTAGAATGGGGTTGACTTGCATTGTGTTCATGCTTTTTTTTTTTTGTTCATAAATTAAGTTAATACAAATTAGGTATTTTTTGTTTACTTTCTCTCCATCCCAAATTATTGGTTGGATTATCTGAAATTTTGGATTAGCGGGGTTTACTGTGTATGTAAGTAGTTATGCTGGCCAACAAAAATAAGCTCTGTGTAATTATGTATTTTTAAATGCACCCACTCATGAATTATTATAAATGCTTTGAATATTAATCAGTAGCTTTGACTTAATTTTCCTTAGTATTTTAATTAAACACAAAAACATGTAATATTGAGGAAATTCCAAAAGATTAGAAGAGAACATCAAATGCTATTTGTCTCCTATTATGTACAGACACAGCTCTTAATATTTTGGAGTGTTCCTGTTAAGTTTAGCAAACATTTCGTGAGACTATCTAAAAAATAAATGATTGTCCTGCTGAAAGAATGTATGTGCAAAGAATAGGATGATTTACATAGTTTTATTTTAATGAAAAGTAAGCCTTTGTTTGAATTTTCTTTTTTTTTCATGAGAAAATATTTATTATGGGTAGTTAACCAAACAATTCACCAAATAATTATTTCTTTTTGTGATTGTGAAACATTAAACAGTTTTCACAATATTTAAATTTGAAATTAAATTTCTACATGAAGAGCATGAAATATTTTATTTTGGGAAAACATGAAAAAAGATTATAAATACTTATACAGTGAAACCTGCATTAAATTTCATGAAAAAACTGTCTTAGGAGGGTTGTTGCTTAATAGGAGAATTTTTAAAAATTTATTTATGTATTTTATTATTTTTCAAAAAAATGTCTATTATTACTAGTCATCGAATATTTAGAAAAGTGTCTTTAAGTTGAAGTTGAAAATGAGTTTAGTAAACAAGATCAACAGAAGAAATATTTTCACTAAGTTTTACTTTTTCCTTTGTGATAAAAATGCCTTTTTTAGTATTATTTACTATATTTTTAAATGGATTTAAAAATATTTATAACTCCTCTTTGGTAAAAGTTAACATTTAAATTATTTTCAGTTTTTGTACTTCCAATGTTACTTGATTCTCAGAATCTCCTTTTCCCCTCTGTTTTTCTCAAGAATGAAAATTAGGCAAGGATTTGTCACATGAATGCTTTTTACAACATTGCAATTTTCAGTTTTTATTACTGAAAATTCAGAGTACTGTATACTTACAATATTCCTGAAAGAGAGAGAGGAAAAAAAAAAAAAGGTGGTAAGGGTCTCACCAGTGATTAGGAAGAGGGGTGTACTGTTAAAAGGAATATAATTTGCATATAATATTTAGGGTTTAAATGTGTGATCCAAGTAAAAATTTTCTAAAACCCCTCCAAAAGCAGAGTTATGTGATTCCTGTTGTTAAGTCTTAAAATCATACCAATGAAAATAATTCATTTTGCCAAACTTCCAGGCTCTATCAGGTCTGCTTATCTTAAATTGCAGCATCAAACATGTATTTCCAACTTGACTTTTGAAGCATTCTGTAATAGTGAAATTAATTCACAAGTTTCAAAATGATGTTCTGGCATTCCTTATATTATAGTTCAGAGGTGTCCAACTGGCAATGCCTTAAGGGCCACAACGTAACTTTTAACTATATTTTCATTTCTTGGGTGATCCACATCTGACTTGCCCATATTGTTGTTCTGGGCAGTTTGCCAGCAGCTTTGAAACGTTGGAGATGGGGATGGAACAGCCTCAAGGACTGCCAGTTGGACAACCCTTTTATAGTTCCTTACAAATGTTTTCTTTCTTTTACTCTACAGTTTTTTAGCACTTGATTGTCTCTGTAGGTATCGGAATCAGGTGATGAAATACTGCTGCTTCAACAACGAGTTGCTGAACTGGAAGAGGACAAAGGTAACCTACAGTTACATCTGGTAGACTTTGATGAACTTAAAGGTAAAAACAATGTGCAAGATTCTTTGTATGGGACTGGGTTGTGGTGGGTTGTTGGTTTCCACCATATGTGCATTGGTACTTCATTTTGCTATTCCTTGAGAATTTAAGTTTCACCATGTTTATGAGTTGTCAGTAGACAGATGTAATGAATGTCCACTGTTCAATATATATATATATATTGGTGTTCTGGTGTCATACTATATTTTTAATTTTTAACTGCTTTAAAAAAATATGTTTTTGAGGATTATTTAATTGTGACCAAGACTCCCCGTATTGGAATGTTGTTTATGATGCAAATAGATTGAAAAATTATTTTTCAGTCTATACACATTAGTAATTGTTGTTGTTGGTTGTAACTGTTTGAATTGTGTAGTGTGTATAAATATGTTGAAATAAATTATAATATTAATAGAGAAATTGTAGATTAAAAATACAAGCATTTCATTTAGTAGTACATGCTTGAGTCATGTATAAAGTTGTTGACTTTTTTTTTCACTCAGGACTTTCTTATCACTTAATGGCTGTTTGTGTGCACATTCTTGTCATTAATTTTCATAAGATCATGTATCTAGTACTGAACAGGGAAATATTAAGAGAAAGAAATGTGAAGCCATAAACATAGGAATTGGATTTTTCATTCAGATTGTTTTTGATATATTTAACGAAGAATTATTATAAAAATGATACCTGGAAGTACTTATTGCATTCCTACTTTGGGTGTTAGGAAATTAAAAAATACCTACGTATTTTACGTTTGCAGTTTTAAATGTACCAAAGTGTTTGCCGGCTAATACAACACATCCTTTTATCTTAAAAGTGTGGTTTCCTTTTAAAAAGCAATATGATTATCAGGAATCTTTGTTGTCAGAATGTATGCAATGAAGATTGCATGTTAAATGTGCAGCTTTTTGCTGCACTACAATTTTATCTAGAAAAATTAACATACAAGTGAAAAAAAAATATTGACATATGACAAATTTGTTTCGTGTTGTAATCGTAAAAATATTTCTTTGTGAAAAGAATTAAAGAATAAGTGCAATAAAAAATGTTTGCTTAAAAAAAATTGACATCAGTTGATTAACAACTGTTTACTAAATTCCTCTGTATTTTTAATTTAAAGTTTTACTTAGAATCTTATTTGCAAATGATGGAAGCAAAACCACTAGGTAGTGAAATAATTATATGCGTCGTCATTGCCAACAATATTATTTACTAAAAAAACAGCTTTCTTTGGCTTAGCCATAATCAGTTTTCTAGTACAAGAAGAAACACAAACAACATTAAAATGTGAATATTTTTTGATTTGACAACAAAATTATAATAAAGGTTCTTAATAATTTACAATTTTTAGAAAATATATTTAACATTCTAAGAACTGAAAGACGGGAAAAAAAGGGGGGGGGGTTAAGTCACTTAATACTAAAGGATAGTGAATGAAATAGAATTAGAACACGTAAAATTTGAAACAGAAAAGATGGAAATGTAAGTTGAGCCATTCCTTACCTGTTGTATGGACGCCTCAAAAACGACTACGCGGGGACGGGCGAGCCAAGGGGCTTAAGTATCTGACCATGGGGTGAAGGAGGGAAGCTGGGTGCAGTGCGCTGTCTACTATGCCGCCCTGGGGGAGTGCGTTGGGGGAGTGGTGTCTAATAATAATTTTAGTAGAAGAGAAGGGCTATGGTTTATGTTTTCATTCAATAAATTATTTTTTAAATGAATATGCAGGTTTTCTAAAGTTAATCTGGTGTGGTAGTGATTTTCTATTTCCAGTATATGAATGTCTGTGTGTGGATTAAATGTATGGCCTGTCTGGAGTAAATGATTGGCAAAGTGAGATGTCATGGCAATTGTGGCTTCACAGTCATGGCAATTTAGTGAATAGACGCCGCTTCTTTTTTCCCAAATTGAAAAGCTGCTTTTTTAATAAATAATATTGTTGGCAATGACGAAGCATATAATTATTTCATTGGAAATGCCAACGATAACTTACCACAATACCTATACCACTAGGTAGTGCCTCCTGTGCAACTTGTGTGTTTATTGCTCCTCTATAAATACATAATTTATAGAAGCTTTTATTCAAGTATTATACTTTTGGTATTCCTCATACATAAATTTGTGACAAATAAAATCTAGATAACATATCTACTTAAAATTATACATTTCTTTTATCTATTTAATATGATACATTTATTTTTTGTTCATGAAGCTTTTGTAACTAAGAATGTGTTGGATGAGCTGACAAGCACAGAATCTTGCTTTATCCTACATCTATTCTTTAGTATGTTTATTGGGATCATCTTGGTTGAGGCCATTCTAATCTTGTTTCTTTTGATGTGTAGAAAATTCTGTGCATGCTGCATATTTCTGTAATGAGCTAATAAGATTGTTGCTACCATGTTTCAATATGTTATTACTTCCTTTTGCTTGTATTCTTTGCTCTTATTTCTGTGTCATTTTTCTGTGAACTAATAAGATGAATTTTCTTTGCAATTACAGGTAATATTTATTTTTTCATGATAATACAATGCATACTATTTTGTTGCCAAGTTAAATTTTTTTTACTGGTTTTCTGGAATGATATTACAAATGTCTTTTATTACTTTAAACAGTAGTTGCTTTTAGTAGATGCTATTATTACCATTTTTCTTTTTTCCTCCAAAGCATACAATTTAAATAGTAATTCTTAAAATTCTCTGTGAAATCTGCTTTAGTTTCATGATATATTCAAATTAATCTAAATTTCTTTCAAGGCAAAAATGTCCAAATGATCTAATAAACAGTCCTATATTCAATACTGTGTGTGATTTAAGGTAGAATTCTCTGTAAAATAGAAAGATTTATTAGCATCATACTTTTTAAATTCAATAAATTATGTTTCTTTTAACTTTTAGCGACTGAACTCAATTGGAAGCAGAGGATACAAGAACTAGAAGAAAAAGTGAAACAGCAAGACCTGGATTTAGATTCTCATGTCCGAGCTTTGTCTCGGTTGGAAAGTGAAAAACTTAACCTAATTGAAGGTAAGAGATGATGCAAATAACAATGCATAGCCAATTGCAGTAATGTGCTTGTATAAACAACAGTATTGATGATTTTTTGTACTTGAATTTACAAGGCATGATATAAATCATGGAGAATAATTTTATTACAAACAATGTGATAAGCTTTTATATAATTTGAATTAATTTCCGTTAAAGTACTGAACTAACAATATGTGTCTCCCAACATTGTATCCATACTGGGGTCATTGCAAATATATATTCTTTTGGAAGAGCTTTCAGCTTCTGTGTCATGGTCCTCAATATTGGGAACAGTGTCCAAGTGTTTTTGTTTTAGAATGCATTTTATTTTTTGTGAAGAGCCTCAAGTTGCATGGTGCTAAATCGGACAAGTTTGGCAGATGTGAATAGATAGGAACACTTTTCTGGCCAAAAACTAGGGAATCACAAGCAACATATGGCACAGCACTTTGCTATGAAGAAAGCCATTGGCTCATTTTTCTGGTTGTGTCATTTCAAATTATCTATTAAAATGCTTTGCACTCATAAGAGTTCTTTAATTAGCTTTCAAGTAGTAATTTGTCTGTTTGAATGAACAAGTTTTGTCACTTTTTGCAAGTTTTCATCTGTTTTTGTGATCAAAGAATGTCATGATTGTTGCTCATCTTCAACCAACTCATTTCTGCTTTTAAATAGCTCATACCACTTGTAAACAGACTTGAGAGTTACCATTATCACGATGTACTGATTTGAACATTTCATGAGCTTCTTTGGCACTGTTTTGTAGCTTAAAACAAAACTTAATGTGTTATTCAAAATTCACGATGTGCGAAAGACACATCAGACTGACAAGTCAAAATGGTTCAAACTTGTCACTGCCCAACTCAACATATCAGGCTATTGAGCATATTAGGCCAAATAGACGTAGTGTCAGCAGTTGCTGCTGTAAAAATTTATTCACCGTTTTTTTTATCACACTGTATTTAATGACTATTTTTTAGTGTAATAATTACTGATAACTGTGTACTTTTTTATTCTTTTCAGGACTTCAGTCTGAAAAGTCACAGGTTTCTGAATTAGACAGGGAGCTGAAGGCATTGCAGTTGAGAACTACTGAAATAGAAAATCTGAAAGTTACTGCAGAAATGAAAATGGTGGAGTTGGAAGAACTTGTTGATATTCTATCACGTGAAAAGTCTGATTTGCAACGAGAAAATGAATCGCTTACTAGCGACAGAAGTGAATTGAAGCAGTTACTTGACACTCTGCAACAGGAGAAAGCAGAACTGCTTGAAGAAGTTACAACATTGCAAACACTTTTGAAGGAAAATAATCCAGGCGATACGGATTCTAATCGGTCTGAATTTCAGATGGTTAGTTCCAACAATAGCGATGAGGAAAAGTGGAAGCGATTACCTACACCAGAAGAAACTTTGACGGATGAAAAGCATGTTAAAGATTCTTCTAATGTTGAATTGTATGTAAAATTGCTTGAATCTGAATTGGAAGATGCCCGTAAAGTAATTTCCGAGGAAAAAGACACCATCCACAATTTAAAGCTCAAATTGGAAGCCAAAGAGGAAGAAATTGAAATGCATTTAGAAGTGATTTCTAAATTGGAACAGCTGGGAAGAGAAGTGAGTGCGCAAGGTAATGTGAGTGACGTTAACAAAGTGTCAGAAATATTGAAAGAGCTGAATGAAATGGCTGGAGATCTGGAGGAGTGGAAGAAGAGGTGCTCTGAAGTGGAAGACAGGTTGAAGTGTTTAGAAGAGGAGAAGGTTAATTTAGAAAGAAAATTAGAAGAAGTGACAAATGAAAATTCTCTCTTGAATGCTCAGTTATCTCTACAGAAACAGGTTTCAGAAGATTTGGTATCACAGGTAAGAGAGAAAATTAAAATTATTTCTGAAAAAGATGAATTAATTAAAGAAATAGAAAATAAAAATGTTGAGGCAGTGGAGGAGCAGGAACCGTTGAATAAAAGACAATGGCCAGAAGACTCAAGTTCTTCAGATCAAGCCCAACATGAAATAATTTCATTGAAAGAGCAACTGGAGAATTTGAGGAAAGTGTGTGAAGATTTCAACAATGAAATAGCAGTTAAGGATTTAGAATTGCTGAAACTTAGGGAAATGAAAGAGAAGTTTGATGTTGAACAAAAGTCTGCATCCGATATGACCTTACGTGTTCAGGATGAACTTCTTGAAAACCAAACATTAATAGAGACTCTGAAAAATGAATGCCAAGAGCTGAAATTTAACCTTGAAAAGTTACACACTAGTTTTGAAGAAAGATCTCAACCAATGGAAGCATTGCAAGAAAGAATTCAACAGATGGAGTTATTACTTAATGACAAGGATACTCTTCTTTCAGAGAAAGAAGGGGAACTTGAAAAATTGAATCAGAAATTAAAGACTCTTACCGATAAAGTTAAAAAGCTAGCAGTTAACTTGAAAGCCAAAAATGTCGTGATTCAAAACCTTGAAGAGAAAAACCAAAAATCTACTCAGGAAATTCATGAAAAAGAAGAGATAATTTCAAAATTACGTCAAGACAAGGAAAATATTTGTGCAGAATTAGAATCGTGGAAATTTCAGTGTGAGGAAAAAGAATCCAATATCTCGACTCTGTCTGACAAAATAGAGTCAAATTTGCAATTTCAAGATAGTATTATTGGGCAATTGGTTTCTCAAAACAAAGATCTACAGTGCGATTTAAATGTGACAGTTGATAAATTTCAAGTAGAAGCAAGTCATGCTGATGAAAATAGGGTTGTTTTAATTAATCAGATATTGCAAATGGAAAAGGAATTAAGTTCTTTGAAAATTGCTTTGCACAATAAGGATGAGGAAATAGTGTTCTTTAAAGAAGCTTGTACAAAATTGCCGGATCTTGAAGAAGAAAAGAAATCACTTGAAGAAAATAAAGCACAGATAGAAGAGAAGAATCAAGAGTTGATTAAAGAGATATTAAAGAAGGAGGATGAATTAACTGAACTTTCTTTAAAATTGGATGATCTTTCTAAAAGCCTGGAAATTAAAAATGAACATATAGAAATGGGTTCTATTAAGTTCAAAGAGTTAGAACAAATAATTGTGACAAAAGAAATGCAAGTGACAGCATTAGAAGATAGGCTCTCCAATCTTCAGAACTCCTGGTCTGCTTTGGAAGCAAAGTTACAAGAACGTGAAGCCTTTATAGAATCTCTTGAACAAGAACTAGCCAAGAGCCATGCTTATCAGCAACATTTAGAAGAAGGCCTTTCGTCTATAGAAGAACGTAGAAGGTCAATTGAAAATAAATTTGCTGCCCTAGGAGAACAGCTACAGGAATCTGATCGGATTAAGGTAGAAGCAGAGGAACATGAAGGAGAACTCGCATACAGACTAGCAGCACTGGCTTCAAGTGAAGAAGTTCTTCGTAAAAGGCTGGAAACTCTGAATGAGAACTGTGTTGAGTTAAGTCAAAAAATATCAGAACTCACTTTGGAGAATGAAGAATTGAAGAGAAATATCGTGAATGCTGACAACAATTTCAAGCTTGCAAATAAAGAAATTGAAAGGTTGTCACTTTGTGAAGCTTCCTATCAACATACCTTGGAAACAATTGAAAAACTTGAAGAAGATTTGAAAAAACGAACCATAGATTTTGAGAGAACAATCAGGGAAAAAGAGCAACAGTCGTCTCAATATGCAGAAAATTTAGAATTAGATATGAGAAACCTCAACAAGCAGATAGAAGTTTTAGAAACAGAGAAACGATCAGTAATGGAGCATTGTGAAACTCTTAATGATATGAAAATGAATTTAGAAGATGATATTGAAACATTGCAGGAGAAAGTTGATGCTTACCAATCTAAGATATTGGAACTTCAAGGTATAATCCAGCAAAAGGAATCAGAATGGAATTCTTTGATGATAGTAAAACAAGATGAGATAGTTGCGTTAAAGAAAACGATAGAAAAATTGGAAAGTGAATTAAGCAACACAGTTAGTATTCCTCGTGATATCCATTCCGTAGCTGTGCAGACACATGATAATAGTCGTGACAATAGCAGTAGTATTGAAGATCTGAAATCAGAATTAGAAACTGTATCTAAACAGTTAGCTCAGCGAGAGGAGGAATTACTATCTTATCAAAACAGATTGTTACAGCTGCAGTTCAGTAGTGGTGGAAGCAGAAGTGTGGAGTCAGGTGAAACAGAGAGAAGGGAATTAGAGAGCTCAGTAATGGAATTGCAGGAAAAACTTAGCCATAAAGATGATCAAGTGGCAGAACTCAGAGCTGTGTTGGAAACAGCAAATGCTGAAATGAGTAATATGCAATTTCAGTTGGCAAGTTCATGCAAGAAGATTGAAGAAATGTCTAGCGAAATGTGTAATTTGCATGAAATTGTAAAGAGCAAGGACAGTCAATTACAAGAGCAAATGGAACAAATTTCTCATATTACTAGTTCAAATAGATTATCTCAACAACTTGAATATATTAACTCTGATTATCAAATGCAGTTATCCACTCTGCAGCAACAAAATAGTCAGTTGCATCAAGAATTGGTGAAGGAAAAAGCCCAAAATGTGGTTTCTGAAATTCTCTCATCTGCTCAAAAATTTGTTGGTGAAAATAGAAATGTTCAAGAAGACAAATCCTCATCAATACCAATTGAGGAAAGTAAGGTACAGTTTGATGATAATGTCACTTGTATATCTTTCCAATCAGATAGTGAATTTATAACAGGTGGAGAAGAGCAGATGTCTAAACAAATTATTCCTGATTCTCATGCTCAAAACAAATCTGACAAAACAAAGAATACTACAATGTTCTCTCCTGCAGTTTATTTCCCAGACCCAGAAATCTCAGAAGTTGATTTTCCTACCATCCAGAGCAGTGACTCTAACAACACACAAGAATTGGTGGAAAAATTGGGAGATTTAAGGGCAGAATTAGATGTTTTGAAAAATGAAAAGGCACGTGCATCAATGAAAGTTCAGGAATTAGAAATGGAAGTGAACCGTTTGCTGGATGTTGAAAAGCAGTTACGTGAAACACAAGGTAAACTTGAAATGTTAATTGCGAGTCAAAGTAATAGGGAAATGGGAAATGAGCAGTGTAGCAAAGAATCATCAGTTGAGAGTGAGTGTTTAAGTGAAAAGAAGGAATGTGCTATAGAAATGTCTCAGAAAGAAGATGTGAAGTTTTCTTTTGTGGACATTCCACATGAAAATGTGCAGCAAGCACCTACGTCTCAACAATTTGATTTGAATGAGCCAGCGTGGGTGAGTGAAGTATTAGATGAAGAAGGATGGGGCTGGGGAGCTGAAGAAGCCAGGCTGGAAGAGGAGCACATGGAAAGACAGAAAGCTGCCCTCAGTTGCAGCTCTGCACCAAACGAGTTGCAGCAGCAGGTGACTGAGTTGGAAAATAAAATTGATTTACTGGAAAAAGAGAAAAGCAAAATTTCAGAGGAATTGAAAGCATCTCAGATTCGAAGTGGTAAAATGCTGAAAAAACTGAAGGATTTGAAGTTAAAAAATGAGAATTTGATGCGTGAAAATCAAGAATTTGCTTTGAAGAAATCTGAATTTGGAGGTCTTGATTTAGCAATAGAAGAGGAATTGAAAATCAGAATTGATAGCTTGGAGAAAGAACTGAAGGAATGTAAAGGTGAAAGAGATGCTGTTAATATTGATAAAGAAGGATTACAAAGAAGAATTGAAGCACTAACAGCAACAAATGAAAGGTTAGCTGAACGAGAACAACAAGGATTAGATATTGAATTTTGGCAAAACAAAAACAAGGAACTCGTCAACCAGGTGGAGAGTTTACAGTGGCGGATTGAAGAACTCCAAGAAGAGAAAGATAATGAGGACAGGGCAAATAAAGGAGTCAATCTTCAAGAGCTTCAAGAACAAATTGCAGCATTGGCTACAGATAATGAGCAGTTACAGAGCATGTTGGAAGAGCAAAGAAATTTGAGAGTAGGTGCAGAAGCTGCATTGAAAGATCTCCAACAGTTCACATCATCAAAAGAAGCTAATTTAATTCAAGAAGCTGATATAAAGGAAAATTACCTGGTATTAAGGGAAAATTATGATATGTTATGCAAAGAAGTTGAAGCTCTGCGGACTCACACTGGAAATGATTCTTTAATAGCGGAAAATGCTGTTTTGCGAGAAAACTATGAGGTACTAAGAAGAGAATTAGAGCAGTTACGTTCTAGCTCTAATAGCGATATTATTGCAGCTGAGTATTCATCTATGCGAAATAATTATGAGGCCATGTACAATGAATTGGAGGATCTACGTTCAAGAGTTGATATGAACAACACCTTACAAGCAAATTATGAGTCGCTGCAAATGGCACACGAAAAGTTAATAAATGAAATGAACCATATGCAGAGAGAATATTACAGTATAACTGAAAAGTATGAAACTATTTTGAAAGAAAAGACTCAAGTTGAAGGTGAACTCTCAGAAAAGTCAAAAACAATGCAAGCAAATTATGAAATGATGCTGAACCAGCTAGGAAAGGAAAAAACAGAACTGCTGAAGAATTATGAAACAATTTCATTAGAATTTTCTTCAGTATCAGGTAAATTGCAACAAATGAAAGATGAAATTGGAAAGTACAAAGATATTGTAGCTAATATGACCCATGAGGAGGAAAGATTAAATGCAATGAATTCTGCTTTAAATGAGGAAATACTACATTTGAAAGATGAAATTGAAAAGTATAGGAATATTGTTAGTACCATGACTCAAGAGCACGACAGATTGAAGGAAGATAATCGATCTTTGAATGAAAAGCATGAAACATTGGTGACTTCAAGCTCTGTGCCAGCCATTAAACCAACTGAGGAATCCAAAGTGAGTGTTCTCTTCTCTGAAGAAACATTTGCCCCAATTCAGTTGTTTTCAAAAATAGATAAAGAGACTGTCACTGATGTGGTAGAAAAGAGTTGTGTTGAAATTCAGGCCCATGATCCGAGAATGGAAAATGATCTAGAAAAAGAGATAATAGAATATAAAAGCCAAATTCTGAAACTTGAAGAAATGAAAAAACAGAAAATTGAGGAACTTGATGTTCTTCGAACCATGTTTTCTAATGAACAAGAGGAGTGGGCCAACATTGAACAGAATCTTACTCAGAAAATTGAAGCATTAGAAGCAGAATTGGGAGTGATGAAGGAAGCTGTTAAAAGAGAATCAGAAGTGAGAGAAAATCTAATGTTGAAAGAACATGAGTTGTCAAACATTAAATCTCAACTATCATATATGGAAGAGGAGTTAACAAAATCTCAAGAAAAAGTAGAAGACCTTGAAGCTCAGTTGTTGCAGAAAGAGGAAGAATTTCAGAGCGTAAATAGAAATTCTGAAAATCAAGAGAACATGATTCAGCAAATTATTTATTCAAAAGAGCAGGAACTAAATAAATTACATGAAAGTTTGATATTAAAGCAACAAGAGCAAGAAGAGCTTTTAATAAGTAAAGAGAAAGATATTGAAAATCTAAAACTTCAAATTGCAGATCGTGAAAGCGAGATCAGAAACGTGATTACAATGAAAGATGACGATGTAGAAAACATAAAGAGACAAATGTTTGAATTAGAAGAAAAGGCACAAGCGTTGATGAGGGAAAACAATTCAAATATTCAGGTTCTTCAGGAGCAGCTTACACAAAATAATATAGAAATTGAGAACCTTTCTCAAGCGCTGAAAGACAAAGAACTAACTGTTATTGAACTTCAGGAGGCTCTCGAAGCAAGGGAGGATGAGATAAGAGAAGCTGTGATACAGATCAGGGATAGAAATATAGAAATCCAGAGACTGAAACAATCTAGTGGCATTGCAGTTGATGGTTCTTCAGCTGTGCAGGTTGTAAAAGATTCACAAACAGCCAACGATAATCAGTTGGAATCTAGTCAGGAAAATGAACTGGACCTTGCTTTGTACATGTTGCATCAAAGGGATGTAAGGTGTGAAGAACTCACGTTGGAACTAATGCAGGTGAGACTTTTCTTTCGTTTTTTATTTATTTAATTATTTATAAAAAAAGCAACAGAAAACTGATAGAATCATAATTAAAATACTCAACAAGTTTGGATTAATTTACAGTGAAGTAAATGTTAATGATTTATAATCTAAAATCATAGAAGCGAGAATAAAATTAATATTTAAATATTTAATATTTAAATTTTCTTTAGTTACTCTTCTGTTTTTCTTGTTTCCTTTTTACTTGAACTTTCTTATAGTTCCAACATTTTTTATATCAGTCATGAAAGAAGCAATGAAAATTGTAACTTAATTTTGATATGGGGTTTGATTGATTTGATAGCTGCTAATTTAAATTGGCTGACCCAGATGTGTTTTGTGCCACTTGTGGTATGTTATTTTTTATGGATAAGTTAAAGCTTGTTATTACCTTCGATACAGAGTTCAATACAAACCACATAACTTACCTGGATCGAAAGGACCGTGAGAGTCATGGCAGGGAAATATGAAAAGACAAACCGAGTCAAGTTAACATCTAGTTAATTAATAAATAAGTAAATTTGAGTCAATAACATTAGGTAAAAAGTAAAATCATGTATGTACCATAAGTGTTAACTGGTTTTAATGATCTGGCTCAATCATTAGAATCCTTATAATGCCCTTGGTGCATAAATAACTGTTATATGTAATAAACTGCAAATCTATAATTACTCTTGAAAAAACAATTTCATCGCAATTTTATTTACTTATTTATTTTGATTTACAGGACAGTCTTAAAGCCTAATTTTCACAAAATAATACTTGAGAAAAATCAACTTGTGGTGTTGCAACAGCAAATACTGTCTTGCATTGTTTCAAAATTTACAATTTTTGAAAATTCAGTGGTCCAACGTAAATGAGACCTACACCATTAGTTTAAGTATTCTTTGTTATATCCATTGAAAAAATACTTGGAGCGATTTTTGAGAAAATGTCTTTTTTATAAATTGCATAAATTTCAAATATAAATTATGCAAAAACCACTGTTTTTTTCAAGAAACAGTACATGACCTTTTTTAATTAGCTGAGTTTTTAGCTGAGGTTTCCTTGCCTCCTCTTACCTGCCTCTTCATCACCCTTTACTCATATTTACACTAACATGCACTACATTACTACACATATCGAGAGACCAGTCGGGAGTTTAGAGCTTGTCACAGCTGGGGCAGTGCCATGCTGGTGGGTGATACCTGGTTGGGGATATCCTGGTAGTTGATGGTTGGTCGGTGCTGGATCTCACCATTGTTGAGTTATGAATTGGTCGGTGCTGGATCTCACCACCGGGGAAGATCACCGCCACCTCTTAAGGAAAAACATTCACTACACATGCGAGACTAACGATTGTGCCTGGAATCACTAACAACTAACGAACCAATCACGCCACACTTACAAGTCAATGTTTAATTTTAAACCAAATTTGTTTTCCGCCTTATCAAGAATTTTTAATACCATCGCACTAAAAATTCCTTTCCTGTTTCTGTGTTAACCCCGGTTTCTGGCTAATCTAACGTATTTTGCATTGAAAAATAGTCCGTTCTGACATTTTTTTCTGCTGAAAACAAGATTCCACCTTATCAATGTTCTGCCTACGTCAGGCTTTTGTATTCTTCCATTTATCAAGTATCTTTTATTCATTATGTATTGAAAGTGATACTATTTGAAGAAAACTATGATTATGTTATGCCCATAGGCTCATTTCGTGAAAGAAAGAAAATGTATTGTCAGAGATATTAATGAATTTGCATTGTTTATTAGTAAATAAGCAGTGTCAAGAAAAATGAGAATTTGTTGAGTTATGAATTGGACTGCTGGTACAAAGGATTTGCTGTTACGTTTAACAGGTTGAAGTTTTTTAGTTGTTAATTTTTTTGCACTTGAAGTCTTTGAAGGATTTTTGTCTCTGAAGAATGAAAAATCCATATAATTGTTATTTTGTAGCTATTTTTGGCGTTCTTACTCTTAAATCTTTTGTCTGTCTGAGTCACTGAGAAAACAAGTCTAAAAAAATGTGTTTCTAATCCTTCTGGTATGTTGATGTGAATTGGGATTGTCAGATTGATTGAGAGTCAGCTTGTGAATATTTAAAGCTGAAGAAATAAAAGATATATCACAAAATTCATGCCCCTTGAAACTTGACTAATGTTCCCTTTTATGGGTCGTGTCAATCAAGTGATTTAGAGTATCTTCTAGAATTTGTGCTATAATGTATATGTCATGTTGTTACACTTACCTGCAGATTTGCAGTTATCGTTGTGTTCTTATCATAACACGCGTGGCGATGGTGTAACGGTTAGCGTTTTGGACTGTTGTACCCAAGTTGGCGGGTTGAAACCCGATCGAAGCCGTGGTATTTTAAGGGTGAAAAAATCCCCTTCCTTCGGAGGGGAAGTAAAGCCGTCTGCCTCCCGTTCGTATGTAAAAGATCCTCAAGTCTAAATGGCGCCTCTGAGCTAAATTCTAATCGCCTGTGTCTCGCCCAAGAAATACCTCCTTTCTCCACTAGTTGGTGAAAGGTGCGTAGCGAAATTTGCATGGTCAGACAGAAGAGCAGGCCTAATGGCCTGAGTCTCGCCACGTACAATATGGCATTAATTCAATTCAATCATGTACATTTATTTATTATCTTTAAGAGAATTTAGTTTTTCCGTTTGTTTTGTTACATTTTCCTTCAAACAAAATATTGTTTTTATTCCTTTCAGCTGTTAGAGGAACGTGACACTTTGCAATTGCGCCTATCTACTGCGTTGCGGATTAATGAAGAATTGCGCCATAAAATAAGCAAACCTTCCAATACTTCATCTCCCTTGCGAACGGTACCAAGTCAGACTGAGCTGGAATCCTTGCCTAACACATCAGATATACCAGAAGCAAGTGAGAAAACAGTCACTCCAATTGACAATGATCTTATTACTAGTGAAGCTGAAGGACCAAGAGAGGATCTAAAAGTCCTAGCAGACAAGTATGAACATTTTATCAAATTTTCTGAGATACGTAATTTTTGCTACAAGTTGCAAAGTTGTATAGCACATGCAAAATTAGAAAGGAGATAAAAAGATGAGATATCTATATAACTATTTCTATGTACAGATAAATTTAAGTCTTCAACTTGATTCTAAAAGTGCCTATTCTTGTTGTGTTAATTTTGAAAGGGTAGTTTTGGAAAGAAATGTTAAATAATAAATTGGTAACCATTTTCCTTTTTGAGAGAATTATTTTTTATATTTTCTTTGATAAGACCTTTCTACACTTACGTAGTGTTAGAACAACTATTGAATGCATTATTACCTCTCTTTATATTACTAAAACCTATTTTTCCTTTTAGATTATCTCAGCTTCATAGTGTAGATTATCGCAAAGATGTTACTCTCCAAGATGAACGAGAGCAAAGGCATAGTGAACAACTTATGTTATTGCAACCGAGAGGGCCTGGTGTTTTGGTTGAATCGAATTACACCCTATGTAAGTTTTGTAAATTTATATATCAGAAGAAAGTTAACGTAGTCAAGTACTGTGTTTCTTCAAATGATTTAGAGATTTAAAATAGTGGTTTGTTTATTGTTGTTGTTTTTTTGTTACTTTTTCAGCTCGAGATGTTCAGAGTCCATCTACAGTTTTGCTTAATTGGATATGGGGACGCAGGTAAAACCCTTTTTAATTATTTATAGTATTAAATACCCATGATTGAAACTTAAATGTGTACACGTACATTCATCCATGCATGTCCCAGACAAGGAAATATCTGCTCTCCTCCTCTGTTTTCTTTGCATTTTTTTTAAGACCCAAAGACTTAACATATTTCTTTATGTATGATGACATGCTGAATCTAAATCCTAAGCCAGAATTTTGCCACCACCCTCCAGTTTTTTTAAATCATGAATAGCATGTGAATACTAGATTTTGGTGTCTTGTAGCATTGTACTCTACAAAATCCAAAAGTTGTCAGATCCAGAACTTGACATGTATTTCCCTACGTTTGTATGCACTCTGAATCCTAAGCCAGAATTGGGCCACCACCTTCCAGTTATTTTTAAATGCTAAAACCCCAAAGAGATTTTCAATTTCACAGTGGTAGTTTGCGATTATAAAAAAACTTGGAGGGTGATGGCGCAATTCTGGCTTCATATTCGGAATCAGCTTGTTAACATACATAGAGAAATATGTGTCAGGTCTTTGACAGCTTTTTCCTTTCCCGTTTACATACGTATATAGGGAGTAATATACGTAGTATAGGAAAACTTATGTAATGCTAAAACGTTATTGTAAAAACTACATTGGCGTTAACTAAACTTCCGTGAATGTTATCACTTCCTTTCATGTCTCCCAATGCCCGTGTATATATGTATTTATGAATGAATGTTTTTCTCAATTTTTGAGTTAATCATATTCATTTGTGAATGCAAATTTAATGCATAATTATGTGTTTTGTGCATGTCAAATGTTCATTGTACATTCCAGGAAATGATAAGTTTTATTTGTTTTAATTTTAAATATTGAAAAATGTAAATTATTTATTTCATCCTTGTATGTATATGGTAATTTTAAGCAATACAGTAATTTGCTAATTAAGTTTTTTTAAAAGATAAATTAAACATTATAAAGTTTCTCTGCATAATATGAAGCATATTTCAGAACAATGTTGATTTTCACAAAGTATTGTTTTCACAAAGTTTTTCACAAAGTTTGTTTTTAATTCTCAATTTAATTTGTATCATTTAATTTCTTAGTATGAGATGAATAAAAATAAATAAGCACGGTACCAAAAGATATTAAAATTCAGGCAATGTAGGGAAAATACCGAAAAACAAATGATGATTAAAAATCTGTTACTAACTATTGGAGGATAGAATGAGACCCCTGAATGTGCCTGGCGTGAAGCCTTATTACAAGATGGAAACTCCGATTTACAGAAACGCAAGATTTTTATGTGCTATAAATTCTTGTTTGTGAAGAAGCTCTGTGAGTCATTTTGAGATTCATATAAATATTTCCTGCATTGTGTTGATTGCTATCACTTTGTCATTTCGTTTTCTTGAAAAGTGTCATATCATAAAGTGTACTGTGCTCAGAATTCAGAAATAGGATAGAACACGAAACATGTCTTTGGACAACACCCCTCTTTTAATGAATAATATCTAAAATGAAAACTGTATTAGTATTACAATTTCCCAGGATAGGTCTGTTGCAGTTATAGTAGAGAGAAAAGTGTACCCTATTCTTTGAAGAACTTAATTCCTTTCTAATGCTTAAATTACAGATAATTATGTTTCAAGAATTAGCATTCCACTGGTCTTATATGTTTGTACGATCACTTGCTCCTTCGATTAAAAACATGTTTAGCCATTTTTTTAATGCTATGGGATAATCTGTTTTAGTACCATTCTTTGATTTTTTTAAAGCATTTATCATGCTTCTAAAACTGTTTAGTGGCTTATTACACTTAAATACTTTAATACACTAGTTTATAAAATATAATATACAATAAAAATTAATTATATTGAAATTATTTGTTCAGTAAAATGAAAGTATAATTAAAATGGAAAAATATGAATTTAAACCTGTTACAGCATTTCTTTTAAATGTTTCAGTTTTAGGTTGATAATTCTTATGCATAATTTACACAAAGCATACAACATATTGTCAAGAGCAATTTTTTTTTCTTTCAGTACTCCGAAAGTGATGCATATTTGAGAAGGATATGCAATAAATGAAGAGTGTAGTGCAAGATGTATTTAATCTATAGATTACATTTGTATTTCATCTGCAATCTTCTTCTGCTGTTGGTACAATTAAATAACAAGAACCCCAGGGCCAGCAGGTAAATTTTTAATCGATTGCTCTTGGTAGAGACATGCTCTTGGCAGAGACAATTGGTGCATTTTAATTTAAGTACAGTTTTTGCAGTACTCCTTACATATTAATAAAATAAAATTTAAAAAAATTATTGCACAAGTATTGTGAGTCAGAAAGCAAATAATGAAAAGTACGTACAGGTGCTAGCCAATGCTTAGAGGACACACAAATGAGAAAAGATGTTAATTAATCTGTCTTGTGCTTTTATATTATTTGTGGATGGATGTATTGAAAGTGCAATAACAGGTGTGATATTTTAAAAAGCAAAAATAATTTGGTTCTTTGTGGAGTTATGTTGAACAACAATGACTATTCTGTTTATTTACATTACATGGTCAAGTTTTAGCTTGTTAGTTAGTTGATTGAAACTTCCTGTAGTAAAATTGTTTTTGCTTTATAACAAGCTTATTTTTATATTTCTTAATTTGTAAGGAATATTTGTGTTGCTAAGTTTAAAAGTCTATAAGAAATAATATGTGACCATATGCAAATGATACACAGCTTTACTAAGTTTCATTATGAGCATTAATGGCATGAACTTTGTTTGACAAGCTCATTTGTAGCAAATCGTGAATTGGAAATAGACAATATCTTTCTTTCTGATAATGAATCTATGTTAAAAATCTTATTTTCATTTCTTAGTGAGATTTCACATTCATTTTTTATTGGAATAGAGAAATAACAAAACTTTCTATTGTGTGATTTAGTAGTTTTTGCACAATTACCACACAATTGTATAAAATATATCACTGCTCAGTATTGTAAAACTGAAATACAGCATTCCTTGACAAAATTTTGTTATTTCTCTCATATTGTGTTATTTATGATATTTGTTTTGTTGGAAAGCAATTTTAAACACTTTTGAAGAAACAACTTTACATTGAAATAGTGTCTTCCTCATTGAAGATCATAATATTTGCAGAACGCCTTTTGCTAAAGTGAAATGCCTTCAATGTGAATAATGAAATTGTACATATATTTTGTGGCGACTTCAAGTTGTAAATGTACATACTGTTGGAAACGAAGGATATGATTATTACACCTTTGTAAAAAAACTGTTGATTTCTTGTAAATATTCTAGACACAATTTGTTTGAAATAAAATTATCAATTTTTCAAAAAGTTTTTTTAAATTTTTTTTTTGTCTAGTAGATCCGGCAATGCTGTGCTATTGCAATGTATTACACATCACACACTATTACTTATGTGATTGTTAATCATGTTTTACACTACTCTGTGCAAAAATTCTAGTAGATGAAAGTTTTTCTCGCAAGTATGGGTTTGTTCTATCTCCTGGTTTGGACCTGTTTGTCAGGTATACTATTGTTAAAATGTTCTCCCTCAAATTTGGGCATGCATTAGCTATGACACTGACTAGGAGAAATTTGATTTACTTGTCCAAACTAACATTCAAGTAATAATTCTAGACGATACTTCAAATTTTCAGGGGCAGAATACTTGGATACATTTAAGATGCGAGTAATCCTTGACTGTGCATTGGGTTGCGTAGAGTTAAGAGGTGCATGAGTCACCATAAACGAATAAATCATCAACAACGCCTCAATATGTCCACTATAATTCAAATCACTAATTAAACACTTCCATTACTAATAATAACAAAGTTTCAAAATTTCAGTGGAGTTGGGTAGTTTTTGTATCTATGTGCATTACATATATATATATATATATATATATATATATATATATATATATATATATATANNNTATATTTACGTTACATACAATGTCTGCAACCGGTAGGGCATCAGTATCTCATACCATCACAAATCTCATTCGTAGTGTTTTATTATTGCTGCTTGAAATTATTTTAGCCTAGTGCTGTTTTAGTTAGGCTCCAATATCAATCTTCATTAAAAATCTTATTTTCATTTGAAGGTGAGATTTCATATTCATTTTTTATTTGAAAGGAGAAATAATAAAACTTTCTATTGTGTAACTTGGTATTTTTTGCACAATTACCATACAAATGTATAAAATAAACTGACACTTAATACATTAAAATCAAAAATGAAACATATTATTAAATGAAGTCACATAAATGTGAAATACTCTGTATTCTTAACTTTATACATATTTGAGATGACTACCTGTGACTTGAATGAATAAATATTTAAATTACAAGATAAACATATTCTATCCTGAGGGATACGCCACGTGATTAACTTCTATGTCCTGGGCAATATAGCTATAATTCAAAACATTGCAAAACAAAAATTATCATACACATCTGTTTGAAATTGATAAAATCTTGGAGTATTATCTTTTCTTTTTTAATTGGATTGTTGGTGAAGTAGATACCTTTTTTATTTTGATAAATAAATAGAGATATTGTCAGGTATCAATATTTTAATTCAACTAATGATCATTTCGATCGCATAGCGATCATCCTCAGAGCCTGCAGAACTTTGTTTTCGGCCCAGAAGCTGCAAGCTCTGAGGATGATCGCTACGCGATTGAAATGATCATTAGTTGAATTAAAATATTGATACCTGACAATATCTCTATATTATCTTTTCTCTTTATATCTGTATTTATTTTATGATCATTTGATTGTAGTGAGAATGGAGTTCAAAGAAACACATGTTATCAATTTTATATTTTTATGGTAAGTTACTATATTTCAAACGCAGTGAACTTCATTTGTAAACAATTCTGGTGCTCTATAATTATATTTTTTTGAAGTTCAGATATAGTTCCATTTGCATATCTACATATTTCTGCCTTTTATTTTATTTTTCTTCGAGATATACTCTGGTAAAAAAAAATGGTGAAAAATAATCAAGTCCAGTTGTCTCCATTTTCAGAAAATTTTATTTCTCTGGTTTTCTCAAACACATAATTCAGTTTGTTTATCAATTTCACAGCATTCTAACAGATATGGAATATCTTGAATTTGAAAAGACTCACCAATAGAATCATTTGTACCATTATTACTCTCCTTGATATCATTTTTATTGCTCAAACTAGGCAACAGTCTAGGGAAAAAATCTGCCTCCTCATCAGAAGAAACCAATTCTGATCTATTATTCAAAAACTCTTGAACTTCTAATGTTGAGCCTCTGTGGATTTTACATCTACGTTTTCTAAACATCTGTATATGTGTTGCTAACTGTATGAATACTACTGACAAAGAAAGGCATTCTGAATGTAATCGACGGTTGTTGTTTGTCCTATGACCTCCTTAATAATATTAAAAAGCATATTCTAAATTCCTACGAATGTCTGAAAGACGTTTATTGACTGTCAAAAACGATAAATGTTGACCGACCTATGCCATTCATTCATAGGATCCATAGGTGTAGATGGCTCTATTGCGCATGCACAATGATTCCCTTGTGGTTCTTGCTTGCATTTTAATAATTGTCGAGTGTTCTAATATCATACCCAAACTCTAACAAGGAGACCTCACCAACTGAGGGGTTCCATCGGAATATCTTCTTGAACATCTGTGCTCCTGGACCCTGGGCAGTCTTACACCACCACTGTTCACAGCAACAAAATAAAAAGCACATTTGGACTTGTTAAAAGCACATGAGGACTATGTTATGACCATTTTGCTCATGCTGAAAGGAAAACATAGCATTCTTGAAAAATGTTGCCCACATCCAGTTTTCTACTTACATATATTCCTAATAAATAGGAAACAATATTTAAAATACTAGTCAGTTACTAGTCTTTATTCAAGTTTGGAAAAAAATAAAAATTGTTTGTGCAATTCATGTTTTGGAAAATACTACTTCTTGGGAAGAAATGCTTTCAAAAGCTGAATAAACATCGAACTTTGGATTATTGTGAAAAATCTTAAATGTGTTACTTATGATGGCAAATGCAGTATGTGTGGCACAAAGACAGGCTTAGTAGAAATTTAAAGTTGTTCAGGAAATTGGTGCTAAGAAACATATTATTTTTCACATCAACAGGCTCTGTATGATCTGTGATTACAATGTGATGAATAGGGGATGGATTTTGATGACCTAAAACATCATCAAAAATCGCACCCATAATGCTACAGGGTCATAATTCCGAAGTCACTCATTTTGCAGGAGAACCTTTGAAAGTATTCTCGAGCGCATATAAAAATAGGAAAATTTTTATCAAAACCTGTTCAGATGAACAACTGAAGCTGTTGGATTATATTACTGGTGAAATCAAGGCAACTTCCTTTTGTTCAAATGAACTCAGCTTCCAGCCACTTGGTTTCAACTATTCTTTACAAGGAAATCTCTTTCTTTAGTTATCAAAGTTTAGTCAAAACCACCCAAACTGATAGTGGTGCTGATAGTCGTCACAGGAACCTTCGATTACATACTTACCATAGCTGACATTACGAGTTCTGAGCAAAGAAATCTAATAGACTACTCAGGAATCCTGTGGAGAACATTTGTTGCAACTCATAAATATTATTTGCAACTAATAAATAATATTAAAATGATATTAAAATCTATGAAATCAGTTAAAAACGGTTTAAAAACAATGGGAAAATGTTAAAAATGACTTTTTAGTGGAAATCAATAAAAAATGTGACAAAAAACACTATAAAAACGTCTCATTTCCTTTTGTTGTAACATAAAATTAATGTATATGCTAAAAATCTTTGTTCTAAAGTGTGTGTGTGTGGGGGATTCATGAAAATCTGCCCCCTAGTGCTGAATGTTGTTCTGTGCGTATTATCTGTTTGCGCAGAGTTGCATGCAGCCGATTTACTTTCTGTCATTGACATATTAGAAATTGCTTATCGTATATTTTTGTTAGTAATTAAAATGCAAAATCTGTAAATTACTATACTCAATTTGAGTTGATTATTTTTAGGTAGGCCTTATTCTCTTTCTACTTCAACAATTTGGACGTGAGTCAATTGAATTGGAGAAACGTTTTTATAATTGTTTAAGGAGCGTATGTAAGAAGTATAGAGAAAGTTATGTATTAATGCAAAAAATTCATTTTAGATTTTGACAAATACAAGTTTCATGGGTCTCTAGACCTGAAAAAGTTATTTTTCTTCCTCTTGTATAGTAGATTAATGTCTTGTATATGTAGTTTAGTCAAAATATAGATTTTGGAGGTTCTTGATACCAAAAAGGGGTTGGCTTTGAAATAATCTGACTGTTAATCCATTTGATCATCTGTCTGATGTTTCAATCTTAAATTTTTTAATTCAAATAGAGCAGCGTTGGCTTAATAATATGATGTAAGTTTTATTTTAATTTAAGCCTATGAAATTGTCATAGTTACAAAAATTCAACATTGTTCAAATGCCACCAACCATATGATGTCTTCAATAAGTAGATTGCTTGCAGAACCAACATGCCTGGATTTAAATCCCAGACAGACCAGACAGATGGTTTTGAGAGTTGGGCTAGTCTTATATTATTTAACTATTTCAAATACAATACCATAAAATGTGTGCTGTTGTAGCTCCACTGGTTTCTTTTGTGTTGGAAAATTATCTTAATTACTTAGTCCCCTAGTACTTTTATATCCCTTCCTTTGAAAAATTCTAGCTCATACCCACGCTCATAGTTTGTTTGCACGTCAATATGATTTACAAGCTATTAAGTTAAAGAAACTACAAGAAAATGTTCAAATATGTCTAAAAACATTTTATTTTAATGTTTCTCATTTTTGCATAGGCATTCTTAAGTTATATATATGTATGTATGTGAGTGTGTGTGTATGTGTGTGTAGATATGTATATGTATACACACACACGCGTGCGCACACACACTGACACACACAGATGTATATTTATTTTGAAAATGAATTTCATTATATACTTATTCTTTATAATATCATTCTAACTTTTTCAAGTTCTGATCAGAAAATTATTTCTCATTAATGCATTGGGTTTTTTCTAATTAGGGGTTTTGAGCTTTTTGACAATGGAGAATGAGAGAACAGTTGTAGGAGTTAGGTTTAATAACAAAATTTATCATAACATATATTCTCTTTATTCTCATGACATTCTCATTTTCTCTGCCTTAATTACACAGAATGATACATTTTAACTATATATCATGCAATTTAAATATTTTTTCATTTATTATACAAATCTCTACGTGGCATCGTAAAGGAAAGACTTCAACTCTTAACGAGTTATTGAAACATGAGGTATATGGGTGATACAATATTAACAGGATCTATTGCTCGAGCTGTAGGTAATGGAACCAAAACAACATGTGTATAATCAAGTTTTGAAAGTGGCAGCAGCTGGTTGTCTACACATTAAATGACAACTAACATACATGATATGTTTTTACACTTATCAATAATTCGATAATACAGTGATTGTATAAAAAATACATACAACAATGTACAAAAGTTAAGCACATAACCTAGCCATAAACATTCATCCAAAAATGTATATCTGTTCACAGTATAATCTAATAGTGTTCATCACATAAAAATCTTTCATAAATTCATACAATAATACACATTCATTCAATAAGGTACATAATTTATGTCATTAATAGCATTCATGTTATTTACTACATAAAATAAAAGTGAATTGTTACAATACAAAATTGTATAGTTTTAAATGATCTAACATCTTTGAATAACTAGTTTGTACATACAGCAAGGAATACGTTTCATGTTCAAATTCTCTTGTATCCAACTGAGAAAAAAATTAAAAGTTTAACTTATTGATGACTTCCAGTACGACTTCACATTTCATTCACAAATTATTATATGTCACAATATCAAATAAAAGACAAAATACTGAGAGGAAATATGCCCACAGAGACACTAAAAGTAATGACTAAAAGGGCTAAGATCTATACAGATATTGTTGAAAACATATAATATAAGAAACCAGATTGTAAGTACCATTTATAAATGTTTGTGCAATATCACTTTTTACTAATTAAAAGTGTTAACTAGAATGTAGTTATCTTCATGTGGAAGATGCACCTGGAAAGCCCTACTCAGAGGCAGTCTTTAAATTGATAAGTCTTTTATTCTGAGAGAAAATTTTAAAAATAATTCTTTGCACAATAATTGGTATTTCCATGACAAATGAAATCACAATATTTTTCATTATCTTATTTTAAGTTTAAATCCTCACAAAACCTTTCTTCCAGTTAAAATATATCTACATCTTGAGTCTCTCTTTCATTAACACCACAAAAGAGTACCATGTCTATATTTTTTTGTCCCATATTTTTATCAACATGAACAATTCTTCATTAATGTTTATATAATGTCCAGTTATTTTCATAACACTTCAACCCACTTTTTTACTTTCATACTTTGTAGGAACCCAAGAAAAAGTAGAACCAATGAAATATAATATTATCTTACAAATCTACTTCACACATTTTTATTAGCATCTCTGTTCGATTAAAACATATGTACAAATGACTAAAATTGACTAAAGCATGTTTTAATTCATTACTCTACGATTATTTTTCAAGTAGTATTAATATAATTAGTGCGCACTCAAAAAGCGTATATAATTGCCTTCCCCCTACCTAAATCGAGGCATGTTCTTCTCTTGGCAGAAAATATTTGTCAGTTTGGGTTACAATAATGAGATGAAGGACATCACCTTCAGCCCATCATCATTTTACCTGACACATGTTTTTTGAAGAAGTTTCTTCTGTGTCACATGTTGATTAATTTTTTAAATGAGAAATGGGCCACCTGAATTTGTCGTCTCTCTTCTGCAGAAATATGGGGCAGCATATCTTTCAATTGTCGAGACTTTTTGTACTTAATGAAACCTCACACTATAAAATCACTTGTTTCAAATTAGGTACTTCTCATGTATAATAGATACTTTTGATAATGTTAACTAAACCTGTTTTAAGCAGACTTGGAGGATCTTAAACAGTTCATTAATCTCATTCTGCAGTAGTCTCAAAATTGTTTTCTCATCTCAAAGTCACAAATTTTCATATCTTCCTACATTCTACTTGTTTATGGTATCTACATATCCATTCAGTTTTGAATGCTTAGAAGACAGTATCATAAGTATCTATGAGAATTTTAAAATTGTTTCAGACCACAAATGGAATCTAGCAGAATGTGTTATATCTCTGTAATTCATAATTAAAATTCACCAAGAATTGACTGAACGAACAAATTGATTGTACAAGCACTGGAATTAATGCTTAAAATTACTGTAAGATAAAATTGCACTAAATCTTGGCACACTAATGATGTATATCAGGAAAAGAGTAGCAATTGCTAGGTATGACTTGTGTTCTACAAATAATTAAGACTCTATAACATGCTATTTGCACATGGAGGATCTCAGGCATTTCCCTTGATTTATCAAGAGATAAGTTCAAAGTCAGATTGAACAATTCATGGAATTGTTTTAAAAATGAACATCATGAACGTCTGTTGGTGTTCCAGCTTTGCCACTTTCGAGAATCTTGTCTGCTCCTGAAGACCCCAAAGGATGGTCGGGTGGCCGAGTGTTGGCAGGATGTGTGGAACTCACGTTAACTTGATTCCCGTTTCCCGAAATGTCACTGCTTGTTGCCATACCTTGACTATTCATAGTAACCATCTCATCAATTTGGGTAAGGCATCCTTGAAGATAGTCCTGAAATGACGAAATAATGTTTTTTAGTATATCATAATTTTTATACACTACATATACGAATTATTTATCACTATTAAAAGTTTGTTTTATGTAACATCATTTTTGTTAAACATAACAATTTCTTGCAAAACGTAATTTGTAGCACTTACTATTTCTATGGCAGTGATTCGGTGCAATAATTCCAATAGTTCCCTGAGTGTGTATCCGCTTTTTGAAGACCATCCCAAACCATGAAGAGCTGCAGCAATACTAGCAGCTGCGATGATGCTCGGAGTGTACAGCGAAAACTTGAAATCTGGACAGAAAAGCATTCAAGAAATTTAAATACATGCATTGTGATTGTAGAAATAGAGTTTGAATTAATTTACGCTCACTAAGTACCGATAAAACGAATGTTTTGCACCAACACCCAAGTATGAAGTCCCATTGTATTTTAGCGGCAGGAGAAATGCAATACGCTGATCACAGGTGAATGAACTATTGGGCAGTTGCATAACTAGTCAGGCGCACTATTATAGTATCGTGTTCCCTTATACAGTTTGATCTGCCGCGAAACTTTGAAGCTCACTTGCAGGTATGAACCAGTACAACAATCGAAAATAATTTGAGAAACGCATTTGTTGAAATATTACATTTAAGAGAGGAGGGAATTTACGGCACAATTTAATTGCTACAGAATGGCACAGACTACACTAGTTTTCTATTTCCTTTGGTCTGGGCTAGCTATTCTGCCTTGCTACATACTCTAGCCAGCTGCCATCTGTTGAAACCTAGAGTATATTTTTTGAAATTTTCTCAATTTTTCAAATTGCCTAATAGTAGAACTGGAATATTATTTTAAGAAAATTAAAAACAATAAGCCCTCGTCCTAAATGGCAAATTAGACAAGAAACACTACGCGATTTTATATGTTCTAGCATGACTTTTCAGCAATGTTGCCAAACCATATCCAAGAGATGGATTTTCTGGATTCAATGTCATATATAGGAATTTCTTGTTCACTTTTCGATTGTTCCTGAACAATTAGATATGTAGGGTAATTAAATGAAGAAACAGCAAATTAATGAATATGCAGCGTTTTCAAGCATTTCCGTAAATAGGGAGTAGCGTGTAACAAGACAACAGAGCCCGATACGCAAACACTGATTTCATATTCGAACTCAGGGTCCAAGTCTTAGCTTTGAACACCATTCAGCTTCTGTATATCAAAAATGCCGTTGACGAGTTACTCTAAGATGGGAGCAAGTGAACGCGATGTAGAGCGATAGCACTTGCGAGAGGTAGTGATGAGAATCATTTCCTGATGAGCTAACTAGACGAATTGAGTGCACCCGCCGCTCACCTCGCGCGCAGAGGGCGATGAAGATTTGCGCGTGGCGCTGCACCATGTCGGCGTCCCACAGGTCGGACAGCGGCAGCCGGCGGAGGATGTGCGCCAGGAAGTCCTGGGGCGTGACGGCGGACAGGTCCCACTTGAGCTTGGACAGCACCAGCAGCTCCCACCTCTGCAACACGCGCCGCACCCACGCCACAATCAATCACGTTCTGCGTTCTAATGCGAGGAAGGCCACACATCACTACTGCAGGCGCGCATCCACGGGGAGGCAAATGAGGGAAATCCCCCCCCCCTTAGGTTTTTCAGTAACTTTTAATTTTAACTTGTCGCGAAACTTTCAACCAAAAATATTTTCGGATTATCATTAAAACGAATAAAATTGTATCGAATTTACAAAATCCGTTGTTACATTTGGATCAAAACATTTCTTATTTCCCTCACCAAAATTTGTCTCTGAATGCGCCCCCTTGAGTAATGTAAGTTTGTAGCTCCTCGGTGCTTATGGACACCAACAGACACTATCGACAGAAAACATATGCAGAATGCTTGGGAATGAAAAGCATTAGGTGAAATCTGTTTGAACTGCTACTGATTTTGTTTCAAGTTATTTTTAATTCTGATAAGAAGATGAACCTGCCTTTCCCATCGAGTTTTGTTCTTGAAGGTACTTGAAGCAAAGGAAACGATGTTATATAATCATGTAAGTCATTTCTAAGAAAAACTATTATCAGTATTACATTTTCAATAAAGGAATCATTCCTAGAATGGAGGAATATTAATTCCAAAATTACGAGCCTGGGAAAAAAATATTTCACTCATAAGGTGTTACACAGGTTTTGCTCGCATTGAAGTTGTCTGAAAAGTTCTTTCTAGGTAATGTGGTAACCAAGATAACACGTTTAGAAGTTATTTAAACTAAGAACTTCATGAAGAATCGTTCATGAAGGGCACGAATTCCTCTCTTGGTTGCTTTGTGTTTTTGATGTCAACGAATACATCAACAAAAAATCGATGTTTAAAATATCGTTGTCTTAAATACGATGAAGCATTTTAAAATCAAATGTCCTGTTTCTAATGTGATACATACCACGTAATATTACTTTAATGTATTTTCTGCCTTAAATTTGACTGTCAGCTTAATTTTCTAATCAATGTTGTATGTACTCAAGGTTGAAAATGCTATTTAACGATATAATCACGTACAAAATAATCGAGAAAAGGAACAACACTGCAGAAAGGTAGCGAATAGCAGACGGTTTCGTGTCACCTGGGGATCGACGACAGTGGTGGTTAATAGCGAGCAATCCACACAAAAAATTGGAAAGTGAAAATTTTATTTATATCATTTTTAGAAACATCGATGTTTCTGCACTAATGTAACGATCTGAAGAAAACATCGAAAGCAAAACATCGACGTTGTAATATCGATATTTTAAAAACATGGATGTGTTTTCGCCGTCGTCCCGCCAGGGGCGTCGTGGGAGAATGGCGGCTGGCGGAGCCGCGGACTCACAACGCCAGCCTCTGTGCGCCAGCAGCCGCATGGCTTTCCACTTCGCTGAATAAGATGCTTGTTGCGGGCGTTTCTCCCTCTTTTTTGTTTCTTTTATCTATTCGTTCGACGCACGACTTCACAAAACGCAGCATATTCTGCCTCGGCCCCGGTGTTTGCGGCGCGAGGTCGCACCCGCACAGGCCCCGAAGGCCAAGTGCTGGCGAGGCGCGGCCTACAGGACAGGGAAGGACCGTCGCTGTGGACACGTCGTAGAAGAGCGGTTCGTACTCTTGGCAAATGGATGAAAAGCATTATGTAGAATACATAGAGTGTATGTTGAAACATGGAGAAGAGTTAAATGTTTCAAGTATCGACAGAGAATATATGTGCTGGAATGCTGGAGAGATTCGGGATTATAGACGATATTTTAATGTTTTGTGGATTTGAGCAATAAAGTGTATATTCGGAGACATGGACTGTGGACATATTTAAAGAACTGTTAGGATTAGGTTTGTTTTTTTTATTTCAGTTCTTAATTGTGCAAAGTTTTTTGTTTTTCATTTTCATTATTGTTATGAATTAACGTTCCTTTCTGATTTTGAAATGTCGAAATATTATTAAATTTAAATTAACAGTAAGTTACCATTATCCAAGTCTATGGTGTAGGCCGTAGAATTATCGGCACTACAAAAAAAATGGATATTTCTGTTTCTCTGTTCATGAACCTGATTCATTGAAGGGAAAAATTACAACCATCACAGTAGTTGGACGGAATTCTGGTATTATACTCTATTTTCTTTTTCTCCTGTCCTGTCTTCGTCTCCTCGTCGACACCATTACTCCTTCACGATCCATTGTTCTCCGTTTTCTGCTGTGGTTTCGTCCTAGTAGTTGGACTAAACTGCGTCGTTTCTTTCATTTTCTTCATTTTCCTTCTCTTCTTTTATACGTAATTTCTTGTCTTCTTTTCAGTTTCTTCTTCTAGCGCAATATCCTTGTCGAGATTTAGGCGACTATAAATATTTGCCTCTTCTGAACGCAATGATCAATGATGATTACACGGACGGTCACCACGCTACTGCCTCCAAGTCGAAACATCCGCGCCTGCGGGAGATAGGAACTCGGCCCCAGCGCAGTCGTTGCGCCGCAGCGGGTTCTAGGCAGTGGGTCGAAATTAAAACGAGATCCAACACATTTTCCACGGGAGTTTGAAAACATGCGTCAACATTGCATAGTCTGGGAGATATTTCATCACCCTATTTACTGCCCCTCAAACTGACGGTAGGGATTACCACTTCCCCTAAAGGGCTGGTTTAAATGCGCATTATTTTCAGAATTCGTAGTATTACAGAGGAAACATGTCTACCAATAAACCTTTATATTCCTTGTGGCTACTCGTGTCGTCACTCTGAACGAGCGGAAGGCGATAAGCAGCCGATCCAGAAATAACATCGGTGGACAGGGCGAACTGTCTGAACAGATAATTTCGTTCACAGGTTTTACACTATTTAAGTTAAAATTATTCGGAAGTAGCAGACATTTATAATGTGTTGTCTTAAAGTATTATTTAACAACACAAATCTTGAAATGAATTATGATTGTCACATAAAATTAACAATAAAACTCAAATATCCTTTTATTTCTGACAATCAATAAAGTTATTCGTCAACAAAATTAAATGATTTAAAAATTACAACTTTTTGACGAATAACTTGATTAATTATCGAAAATAAAAGGATATTTGTGTTTTATTATTCTTTAATGTTTTACCCTGTATATTTAATGACAATATCATGAACAATTTCGAATTTCACAGTAATAGCGGCAATTAATTAGTGGAAGTTTCGCCCGAAGCCGGTGGTGGTTTTTGTCCAGCTCGAAACGTCGCTGCGCCCCTTACGCGCGTGCTTCGCCTGCTGTCCGCCAGGCGGCGGGCGTCGGGTTGGGGGTCCATGACCTCCGGGGCAGGCTGATAAGCGTGAGAAATCAAAACAAAACGAAGCGGGCGAGTGGCGGTGGCGAGGAGGCGCGCAGAAGGCGGAGGATGGAGCACTTCTGGCCGAAGGATGTTTGCGGTTGAGGCGGATACTCGCGCCTTTCCCGCACACAGGTTCTTTCGGCCGCCCCGCGCCGCCCCGCCCCCCCCAGGGGGTTGCTGCTCCGAGAAACGAGAGGCCGCACGTATACGCATTTGCTCGCGTGTACCTCTTTGCAACGTCCCCATTCTAATACGTGCCTCTATTTTTTTGCTATAGCTTATGATGTTTGCTTTTTTTCTCGTTTTACGAAAGCTTGCCTTTTTACTTTAATATTAAACCAGAGACTTTCAGGTAAATGTAGCAATAAATAAGTCAGCTAGTGTTTTTTAAATAACTTGTTATTGTATGGATAAAGGCGACTTTGGTTGTAAGAGACATCCACCCAGATACATCGACTATTTAATATCGCGAAAACGTGGCATTGACAATGAATGACGTAGTAGTTCATCCGATAATTGAATAGCTAGTAGCTCGTTATAATTAAATACCGAGTCGCTCTTTACAATTAAAAAGCGGGGTTGGTTGTCGCGAGCCGCGGCTGACGGTTGACTCTGCACGCGTGCAACATGACGTCAACCTCGCGAAAACAATCGCCGTCCGACTCGCGTCGTCGGAGGTGAACGCCCTGCACGCTGCCTCGTGGGATGTGCGCGAATCTTCTGAGACGACAAACACAGCGTCACCCTCAGGACGTGGGTGCCATCAGCCAGAACAGACTGTTTCTATTATATGTAGGCGGCTTCATAGCGGCTATCATGTTCGGGAACGAAATGGCATTTAAATGAATGGTTTCCAATGTCTGGCTTAATATTCAAACATTTAATTTCCAAAATCATTGAATATAGATAATCCCACGATCAGAAGTATAATTCTTGATCGACGGAACAATTTGCAAATGACGAGTCTAGGATCCGATATTTTCTACCTGCTTGTTCTAGAGATGTGATCTGCATTTGTTTCTATTAAATAAGGAACATTCAAATTGCGAAATTGGACTAGGCCAGCACATTCATTTCTTGAAAATGGTAGTAACTACACATTACAATGTATTATTAAACGTGATAAACTATCTTTTCCAACACACAAAATTTTCCTTCCCTTTCGTTGTTGATCGAAGTCTCACACCGTCGACGCGCAACAAATAGCGCCGCAAAAATTATATTTTGCTGGGGAACGATTTGATTTTGAGTACAGCGTGTATTTCGCGGCCGAAGACAGAAATTTACAGCATATATCAGTAGTCTTCTGAATCATCTTATCGCATTTTTTACTAGTAAAAATATACTATTTTTGTATACCACCATAATATAGGACCTTTTCTGTTGCAAAAAAATCATTCATAATCGGGCTTTTTACGGCACAAAGGATGACGTATTAGCACTTAACGGCACGATTGATTGCGTCATCACACGTTCAGCCAATCGCAGCGAGCGAATCTTGGGGAGGTAAAGGTACACGGAACAGCCGATCACCGTTTTCGCGCACAGATGTCAATACCCGAGACGTCAGAAAGTTGTTTCGCAAAAATAAGTTTGATTCTCTTATTTATAATGCTGTTATACAAAAAAATAGCGTATGCAACTCCTTTACATGGCATTCGTACAAATTTGAAAACGCACGCAATAAAGCTTGACA